AAAAATGATACAATTTATACGTGAGATTTTCTACCAAAATTAAAGTGCTCAACAAAAGTAAGCCACTCACGATTTTACACCATAATCCAGCAGTAATCGCTAAAGTTAGAAATCCCGTTTGAAGGAAAAATCCATGCTTTTAGCCTCCAAAATTAAACGTTGAGACCTAGAAAGATTTTGCAAATAAAGATTTGCTGAAGATCAAATAAGCACAATTATTGCAGTTTTTATCATCAGTTATATACCATGTTCGTACACCAATATATAGGTAGAGACCTTCTCGCTAGTGAAAACTTGTTGGCTGATCTCTTTTCGAGACTATTCAGAAAAAAGTTAACATTAATCGTTGAGGCGATAATTGAACTATGACGTGAAATAAAATGCATTTTGTGCAACTTTGAACGTATAATGGAACATCTGCTCTTGCTAGAAAATACTTTATGCCTCTTTGTTGCAGACTTGTCTCCGCCCCGATATCACTTCATTGGTTATGGTCTCCAGAAGACAATCGCTTTGGTGCTACCACTTTCTCACAGCAGGAACGAGACCTGCGAACGGAATTTGTCGCGCGAAAATCTATGGAAATGTGCCACGATTGGTAAATTCGGAGCAAAGGGACCAGTTTTCGCTATAATAAATGACTACGTTTTTTCTAGGTACGATGAAGATGGTGCTCTGTTCAATTTCATTCGTGATACAGAGACAAATTCAAGCTGTCCATGTATAGAAACACAAGCGCGTCTAGACCTTGGACGCTTTATGCCACATCCGAGATGTTCACAGGTTTTTTCTTATCAATCAATAATAATGATTCTAATTCTTTCATGCGTATTGTGCATTTGCAGACTTTCCGTGATATTACGTGCACTACTGTGATTGGTTCTAAGAATTGCTATATGTCTGCACAAAACATCTACGGTTCTTATGCTGGCAAAGGAACTACGTTTGACAACATGGACACAACGTAGGTCAAAAATTTTTTTTTAGTTCAAACGCATGCGCGTGCCTGTTAGGCACTAAATTCTGAATGAGCTTCTTCAAGGCGGTTTATGACTCATTATGGGCAAGTCTGCTGCTATGATGAATCCGGATTCCTAATGCAAACCCCATATCAGCCAGTAATCAAAACCCAGAAAGAATACTTCTACAATCCTGGCTATCCACTAAGAGCATATGAATTTGGGACACCACCCTACATGGGACAGTTTGAGGTGAATTTTTGGGCAAAATTGCAATTCGCGGTCTTTTTCGATTATTCCTACGTGCAACAAACTTCAGGTTCCTGGATTGTCAGTGTTCCACAATGACTACATGCCCTACTTTTTGTGCTGTAAATTTGCCGATTTCCGTTGTCAAATGTTCTACTGGCGACGACCATCCTCAGCTTGTCAGGAATACCAACCTCCTGCTACAGGTTAGCCACATTAACTTTTTTGTCTGACGCAATTTATTCCAAAGAAAAGTTTTAGGACAAATCTCTGGCGCAGGAATTATTAACACAATCGACAATGATAAATTCATTTTTAATGAACCCGGAGTATTTAACTTCCTCTACATACCAAAAACTATACGTACACCAGAAGTACGCATACAAGTACGCATGGAACGATATCCAAACAGAAAGGTGACGTCACTTTTGTGGCTGTTCTTAGAATTTTGGTAATTTTTTTGTTTGTTTAAGGTCGATTTCGGCTTGTTGGGACGTTACATCTCACAGGCGGAACTCGTGCAGCCTACAAATGCTACGGTAGTTACGGGTAAGACAAAAAAATTCGAAAGTTGTTTGATCCACAAGATCAGGTGCACTGTGATTGGTTGCATGGCATCAGAGGGCGGGCCACAAAGCTGTGATTGGCTGCTGCATGCAATTTTTTCGCACCGTAACCATAACAGCCTCTTCTTTGTTACAAAACTGCCCAAAAAAGCATGTTTTAA